ACTGCTCCCCACCCCTTGCACTTCCCAGGTGAGGTAACATCCCACCCTGCTTCAGCTTGCCCTCCATGGCTACACCTAGTGTCCAGCCAGCCCCAGTGAGATGGACAAGTTACCTCAGCTGGAAATGCAGAAATCACCCACCTTATGTGTTGATCTTGCTGGGAGCTGCAGACTGTAGCTGTTCCTATTTGGACATCTTGCCAGCCACTCCTCTATGTTCTTGAATTTCATGTAAATGGAATCATGCCATGTATACCTTTGTGTCTGACTTCTTTCACTTATTGTGTCTGTGAAACTCAACAATTTGTTGCATGTAACATGTATTTTTTAAAGTTAATAATATAATGTAGTTGCTAGCATTATAAAGAAAACTATCTGGAGAAGAGGCAAATTGGACAAATCTTCTTCTCTCTTCTTTGTTTAGGACTGGGTCTAAATGTTACTAATGTTACATCACATACTTGGGTGTATAAGAAATGTATTATTTCTTTAAGGCAAACTAAATCTGACTCAGCCAAAATCTAGTGAGTTTGGGGAAAATTCAATGTCAGTCAATATGCACACACACACAAAGGCACACAAACATATTTGAAAAACAAGAAAACTTTAAAAGCTGTGGTCAAAATTTCCTCATTAGCAAAAAAAAAGAAGAATTAAACTCAATAATAGAAAGAAAGAAATAAAAACAATATCAGAAATTAATGAAATGTAAAGCAAACAAAATTAATAACCATTTTTAATTGATAAAATGTAATTAAAAATTGGAAAACTTCTAAATAGATTAATTTTAAAAAACAGAGAGAGAAACACAAATTACCAATATCAAGAATGAAAGAAGTCTCTTGTTTCTTTTCTTGACCTCTTTCCTTTATACATTTTTTTAAAAGAATGAAAGATGATTGTTATGACCCTTACAGGTGTTAAAAGAATATTAAGGTAATATTAGGAACAACTTGATACCAATACATTTAACTTAGGTGAAATGGACAAATCTTCCTAGGCAGTACAACTTTACAAAATTGACTTAAGAAGAAACAGTCTTAATAACTACAGGCCCAAAAATTTTCACCAATAAATTTTATCAATCATTTAAGATAAAAATAATACCAACCTTGCACAATTTATTTCATAAAATAGAGGAGGAGGGAGTTCTTAATAACCCATTTTAAGGGGTTAACAAAACCTCGATACCAAAACCTGACAAACATATAGAAAAACAAACTTTTTTTTTTAAGATGGAATCTTGTTCTGTCACCCAGGCTGGAGTATAGTGGCGTGATCTTGGCTTACTGCAATCTCTTCCTCCAGAGTTCAAGTGATGCTCCTGCTTCAGCCTCCTGAGTAGCTGGAATTACAGGCAACTGCCATCATGGACAGCTAATTTTTGCATTTTTAGTAGAGACAGGGTTTCTCCATGTTGGCCAGGTTGGTTTTGAACTCCTGACCTCAAGTCATCTGCCCACCTTGACCTCCCAAAGTGTTAGGATTACAGACATGAGCCACTGCACCTGGCCTAGAAAAACATTTAAACCAATCTCTTATTAATATAGATGTAAAAAATCTCAAAAAAAAATAGTAGCTTATCAAATCACATGATAACATAAAAAGGCTAGCTAATGCATCATAAACAACTTGCGTTTACTGAAGAAACTCATTTGGCTCCACATTTAAAGTGCAATTAATGCAATTTACTACAAAAAGAGGAACAAATATAATTGCTCAGTGGGTACAAAAAGGCACTTCACTAATTCAGCATTCATTCATGTTAAAATTCTTAGAAAACTAGGAATTGAAAAAAATTCTTCCACCTGATAAAAGTGACAATGAAAAATCAGCAATTAACACCTCACTTACTAGTGAAAACGTCCACTCTTTACCTCTAAGATATGAAATAAAATAAGGATGCTCCATATTACTACTTCTATTTAATATTTTACTGGTGATTTTAGTCAACACACAAGTTAAAGAAAAAAAGACAAATGACTTTTTTAAAGATAAAGAATGGAAGGGATAACATAAAACTTTCTTCGTGAACAATCTGATTTTCTATATATGAAATCCTAAACTATTAGAATTAATTAAGTCACAATATACAAACTCAACTGTATTTCGATAGACTAGCAACAAACAATTGGGAAATGAAAAATTTTAAATATCACTTATAATAGCACAAAAAACACACAATAATTTGGAAAGATGTGCAAGACCTCTACACTTGAAAACTGCATAACATGTTAAGCGAAATTAAATAAAAATTTAATGGAGAGATGTACCATGTTCATGGATTATAAAGATACAATATTTTAAAGATCTTATTTCTTACCAAATTGAGCTATAGATTCAGTGTAATACCAACCAAAATTCCAGTAAGGTTTTTTGGTGTGTGATAGCAGCTGAAAAAATGACCCTAATCCCAGCTACTCAGGAGGCTGAGGCAGGAGAATTGCCTGAACCCAGGAGGCAGAAGTTGCGGTGAGCTGAGATTGCGCCATTGCACTCCAGCCTGGGTAACAAGAGCGAAACTCCGTCTCAAAAAAAAAAAAAAATGACCCTAAAGTATGTATTAAAATGCAAAGGGCATAGGATAACCAAAACAAGTTTGGAAAGGAACAAAGTCAAAAAACTCACACTCTCTGATTTCAAGTCTAAGTATAAAGCCACAGTAATAGTGTGGTTATTATGTAAGACAGATATTTTTAAAAATCAATAGAACATAGTAGTGATAGTGTAGTCACTATGTACAGAATTATGTCCCCCAAAATTTATATATTGCAGCCCTAATCCCCAAGTGGCTATATTTAGAGATAAGGCCTTCAAGGAGGTAATTAAAGTTAAACGGGGTCATAAAGATAGGACTATGATTTCATAGAATTGATGTTCTTCTAAGAGTTAGACACAATGAGGATATGCAAACATTGAGAGACTTCATCAAAAACCAACTGTGCCAGCACCTTGGTCTTGGACTTCCAGCCTCAAGGAATGTGAGAAAATTAAGTTCTGTTGTTCAAGGTACCCAGTTTGTGACATCCTGCTATGGCAGCCCTAAGAGAGTAATACAGATTTAGTACTGATGTAAAAATAGATATATAGATCAATGAAACAAAACAGAATCTACAAATAAATCCATGTAATACATGGTGAATATATTTTTGACAAAGACAATAATGTAATTCAATGAGGAAAATATTAATCTTCTAAAACATAATTCTAGAACAACTGGACATTCATACAAAAAAACTTAATCCCTACTTCCCATCAAATACAAAAATTAATTCAAAATGGATCATACTCCTAAATGTAAAGGTTAAAATGATAAAATGTCTAGAAGAGGAAAACGTCTTCACAACCTTGAAGAAGGCAAAATTTTCTAAACAACACATGAAAAGCACAATCACAAAAGGAAAAACTTTGGTGAAATGGTCTTCATCAAAACTGAAACCTTTTCATTTTCAAGACACTGATAAGAACTTGAAAAGACAAGATGCAGACTTGTAGAAAATATATTCACAATCCAAATATCTGTCAAAGGACTCATACCCAGCATACATAAAAAAAACTATTACAACTTAAGAAGAAAAAGATAAATAGTCCAATTAAAAAATGGGTGAAAGACCTAAAAAGCATGCCACAAAAAAAGATACATGAATTATGAATGCTCAATAAGCACATGACAGGATGCTCACCATCATTAATCGTTAGGGAAATGCATATGAAAACTAGATTGAGATGTCACACTACACAAGCAAAATGCCTGAAATTAAGACTGGGACATTTTGAGAAACAAGGCAGAAGGATAACTTGAGTTCAGGAGTTCAAGACCAGCCTGGGCAACATAACAAGACTGCATCTCTACTAAAAACAATTTTTTAAGTTAGCCAGGCATGGTGATGCACACCCATAGTCCCAGCTATTCAGGAGGCTGAAGTGGAAGGATGGCTTGAGCAGGGAAGTCAAGGCTGCAGTGAGCCAAGGTCACACCACTGCACTCCAGCATGGATGACAGAACAAGATCTGTTCTCAAAAAAGTAAAAGAGATTGACAATACAAAATGTTGACGAAGATGTGGAGCAACTGGAACTCTCATGAATTGCTAATGAGAATGAAAAATAGTGCAAACACCTTGGAAAACAGTTTGGTGGTTTCTTCTAAAATTAAACATACATTTACTACATAACCCAGCATTTGCATTTCTGAATATTAATCCAAGAGAAATATGAACAAATGTTCACACAAGGAATTGTATATGAGTGTTCATAGCACTTTTTTTCATAATACTCCCAAACTGGAAACAACCCAAAAGTCCACCAACAGGTAAAGAAACTAATTGTACAATATTCAGTGTCCATATAATATAAATACTCATCAATAAAATACACAATATACTCATCAATAAAATTGAGCACAAAAAATTGACGCATTTCAAAAACATTATCTTAAGCAAAAGAAACTAAATGCAAAAGCACACACACTGTGTAATTCCACTTATACAAGGTTATAGAACAGGCAAAACTACTCACAGTGACAGAAAACAGATTAACGGTTTCTCTCCAGGCAGGGCAGGAGTGAAGATGGAATTCACAGCAAAAGGGCATGAGAGAACTATCATGATGGAAATGTTCTACATCTTGATTGGGGTGATAGTCTACAGGTATAAACATTTATCAAAACTCATCAGACTATACATTTTAAATGTGTGCATTTTGTTGGATGTAAATTATACCACAAAAAAAGTTGATTGCTTTTAAAGATTGATTAAAACAAAAAATATTTAAATGAGAGAAAACACAAATTGAACATCAGTAACTTGCCATGTTATCTATTTCTTCAAAGTTTGGGAGTTTTGTAGTAAGCAAGTGTGACTTAGATAACTAGAACAAAAGTTAAGCTCAAAAACCTGTCTTATAAGCACTCCCATATCTGGCCCTTTGTGATGGAAGTAGGGGGAGCTGGAGAGAATTTATCCTCATGTTCTTCTTCCTCCTCCTCTTCTTGCACCCTAGACACTGTTGGCATTGCTGATCTTGGTGCTGTACTTGAGCACAGGGATATTGGGTGAGCATTTTGGAATCTGAGAAAAGAGGAACCAAATCAACATGAAGTTTGGTGGAGTATTCCAAAGATGGTTGCATGTTAAGGGGACCTCCATAACCTGCCTTCTCCTACTGAGCCTTCATTGCACTGAGATGACCGACCATGTTTATTTCAATTAGCACTCATTTGCTCTTAAGAGGTGATGTTTGTGCCTGTTTCAGGAAGCAGCTGGGAGGTGTCAGAAAGGATCCGAGAATGTAACTACTACCAGAACCTTGGCGCTTCCCAGGTAACATATCCAGCAAGGTACTGAGGTGAGGCAGTCTGGGAATGCTTTCCAGAGGAGGTGTCATTGGCAACATGGATCATGAAAGATAAGTAGGAGCTGGCCAAATGTAGAAGGTGGGGACAGGTACTATAAGCAAAACGAATAGCACATGCAAAGGCCCAGGGATCTTTTTGAAACCAGTGGGGGCAGGGAGGAGGGTCCTATCTGAGAAAGCACAAGCTGCCACTTGGGTGTCTGCCTTCCAGGGGCTTGAATATCAGACCAATGAGCCCTCGAAAGAACCGATAAAGGCCATCAGGAACGGGTTGAAGGAGAACTTGCATGTCTTCTTGGAGAAGCTAGAGAAAGAGGTGCGCGAGCTGGAGCAGCTCGTGCGGGACCTGGAACTGTGGCTGGATGTTCTTCTGGGAGAGTCGCACCTGGAGGAGCACTGCTTCACACTTAAAAGTCACATGTGAGGGGCAGGTCTGGGGCCTGGGGAGAGCACGAAGGGGAAAGGGGTTGCCAGGGGTTTCTCTAAGCAGGACAGAGCTCTGACTCTTGAAGTTCCAAGCAGGCAAGAAAATAAAGTAGTTGGGAAATGAAGTCCGCTGTTGACATTCATGAATACTGACAGAAACAGCCTTGGGGGAACACAAAAGCCCGGCTGAGATATCCTCCCTGGCACCATGACGTGGCCCCCTGGAACCAACACAGGCTTCAGAGCCAGCCAAGGGTTCAGGATTCTTCTATTTTCTTGAGACTTTGTGTAAGTGTAAGTTTCCTTAACCTGAGACTGAGTTTCCTCACATATAAAAATCAGGGAAACACACTTTGCCTTATAGGAAGACAGTATGTCTAGGGTGTGTTTACAGAGTATATCTGGCACATAGTGGGTATCAGATAAACAGCTCTTCCTTTTGCACATGTCTCTTTCTTCCTCCCTGGAGTGTGGCAGGAGATACTAGTTCTGGCTGAGTGTGTGGATATTATGGGGCATTCAACCATCTGACTGTGCTGGTGGAAGTATATGTTCCTGAAATCTCTATTTGGTGGTAACTATCAAATTTACAAAGGCATTTTCTCTTTAACCCAACAATCTGCTTTAAGGAATTTATCCCACAGCTACATTTTCCCACACATCAAATTAGGTATGTGTAAGATTATTCACCCCAGCTTTATTTGCAACATCAAAAAAAATGGAAGCAGTGTAAATGATACCAGGAGGGCTCGGGTTATATAAGTTATGGTAGAGCAGACAATGAACAATCATGTAGCTACAAAAGACAATAAGGAAGCTTTCTACTGTGGTGTGAATATGGGTGACCCCCAAAATGCATATATTGGGACCTAATACCCAATGTGATGGTGTTAAGAGGTGGAGCCTTTAGGAGGTGATTAGGTCATGAGGATTCTGCCCTCATTAGTGAGTCTAATGCCGTTATATTCATAATTAATAGACGCTTGTTCGTGCCATTATATTAATAATAGAGTCTTGAGGAGCCCGTTTGCTCCTTCCATCATGTGAGGACACAGCTGAAGGTGCCTGTTATGAGGAACAAGTGCTCACCAGACACTGAATCTGCTGGTGCCTTGATCTTGGACTTCCCCGCCTCCAGAACTGTGAAAAATAAATGTGTGTTATTGACAAATTACCCATTCTAAGGTATTTTGTTATAACCGCCCAAAGGGATGGGGCACTTTCCTCCTGCTGAGATGGGAGAGCCTACAAGATATGTAGTTAAGTGAAAAAAATTAAGGTGTAGGCCGGGCACGGTGGCTCATGCCTGTAATACCAGCACTTTGGAAGGCCAAGGCAGATAAATCACTTGAAGTCAAGAATTCGAGACCAGCCTGGCCAACATTGTGAAACCCCATCTCTACCAAAAATACCAAAAAAAAAAAAATAATAGCCCAGCATGGAGGCATGTGCCTGTAATTCCAGTTACTCGGGAGGCCGAGGAAGGAGAATTGTTTGAACCCAGGAGGTAGAGGCTGCAGTAACCTGAGATGGTGCCACTGCACTCCAACCTGGGCGACAGAGTGAGACTTCATCTCAAAAAAAATTACGGTGCAAAACGAGGGCAGAAGATAAGAATATCTATTTTGTTGTTGATACTGGTGTGGTGATGATGATGTTATTAAATATTCATAAAAACTCTAGAAGGATACAGCCCTGCCTGGCGGTGAGGGAATTTGAAAGTGGGCAGATGTACAGCAAGGATGGGAGGAAACTTTTCAGTATATTTTTCATACTTTCTTGTTTTCACATTATCTGCATGTTTTGCTTATTCAAATATTTTTGAAAAACGAGTTTCTATTTTACTTGAAGACAAGGACTGGAATATATGTATACAATCAAAAATAACAGTATTACTATGATGAAATTATGAAGGAATTGATTTTTTAAAAATAATTCCAAAAGGAAACTCTTCTCTTTTGATTAATTTATTTTGATTAAGCAATGATCATTTTTATGTAGGACTTCTCCTTTTTCCCATTAGCTCCAGGAAAATTAGAGTTCAGTTGTTCATTACTGGAATTCTATCAGCCTCATTGTTTGGGATTATTTATTATCCCCTTTCTATGACTTTTTTGTTTTCCGTTTTGATGGAGTTATTATACATGTACCAATTATTAGAGCCACCTGAAATCTTTGGATAGTCATGAGGGTTTCAATTACACTAATCTCAGAGGACATCTGACTTACAGGGGATGGTACAGCAATTTGTTTGCCAGGAGGGATTAATCAATTGCCATTTGGGATGGAAAAAGTCTTTGCAAATTATGATCCCAATTTTCCACTTTGAATATTTGGCAGGGGATTGGGACCAGAATCTATTTTTTCCCATTTGCAGCTATTTCAGCAAGAGTTCTATGGGAAGGATCTGAATGACCTTTGCTTGCATTTATAGTTACATATTATCATACAGTAGTTATGTATGCTTTTGCATTATATTTATATATTACATATACTTATATGTTTACATTGTATATAAAATACAGTTATAAATATATTGATAAAATATATATTTTGTATATGTATACAAAACTGGGGGATACATTTTTAAAAAAAGAAAATGAGGACTGAGCATGGTGGCTCACACCTGTAATCCCAGCAAGCAAGCACTTTGGGAAGTCCAGGTGGGCAGATCATGAGATCAGGAGTTCGAGACCAGCCTGACCACCATGGTGAAACCCCAGCTCTACTAAAAATACGAAAATTAGCTGGTCATGGTGGTGCATGCCTCTAATCCCAGCTATTCAGGAGGCTGAGGCAGGAGAATTGCCTGAACCCAGGAGACAGAGGTTGCAATGAGCCAAGAGCATGCCTCTGCACGCCAGCCTGGGTATAATCTCCAAAAAAAGAAAATGAGGTTAGGCACAGTGGCTCACACCTGTAATCTCAGCACTTTGGGAGGCCAAGGCAGGCAGATGACTTGAGGTCAGGAGTTCGAAACTTGCCTGGCCAACATGGTGTAACCCATCTTTACTAAAAATACAAACAAAATAGCCAGGCTTCATGGCATGTGCCTTTAATCCCAGTTACTTGGGAGGCTGAGGCAGGAGAATCTCTTGAAGCCGGGAGGCAGAGGTTGCAGTGAGCTGAGATCTCGCCATTGCACTTCAGCCTAGGCAACAGAGCAAGACTCTGCCTCAAAAAAAAAAAAAAAAAAAATGGAGCTTAGACCCTTGAGGAGTTAAATCACCTCTGTGGGTATTAGAGCCTCTGAGGCAGAGGAGCTAGCTATTTGGGCACCTCCCCTGTCCCCATGCTGGTGTGGGCCCCTAACCCATTGATGGTGGCTACTTTTGGTGCACTGGCTTGTGAGCCCATAAAGAACAGGGAGTCACTTGGAATAACTCAGGCAATGAGTTTATTGTGGTGCTACAAGGGAGCCAGAATCTCCCCCAAAACCAGGGGGACACCAGGACCTGGAATTGTGGAGACTGGAGCAGGGAGGTCTTTGAGAGTTCAGGGTGGCTCCAGTGCCCAGCTGCAGGAATCCTGGAGCTTTCCTCCAGCATACCACCTTTATGTTGCCACTCTCCAATGCTGGCTTCCTTTGTGTGTCTGCCCCATCTATTCCTGCCTCCAAGCTTCGTATCTCATCTTCAACTCTGTGCTTCTGCTTCTGATTCATAGTAATTCTGATTTGCCCCTAGCCCCTGTGGCTGTTCCCACTTACCTTCCAACTTCTGCTGACTGTGATTCTGCCCACATTCCCCAAGTCAAATCCAAGGAGAGGCAGGTGGGATATGACTGACCCATCTGGGGCTCCTGCGCCAAGCCAGGCTCTACACACCTGACTTTGGGATGACCTTGGAGTGATTGTCACGATGCAATCAGCAGTGGCAGGAGGGAGAGGGGAGGACCAAGTGATCCAGAACAGAGATACCTCAAACAGGAAGCAGCCTGGGGCCATTTCCTTCCACAGGACTCTGGGTTATACCAAGATGCTTTGACACATCACCCAGGGTGGTCATGAATGTGACAGAGCGTATACTTCCGTGTCCTGAGGGTCAATACCAGGGCAGCAGAATTGCATGAGACAGACACTCAAAGGTCAGACCCTGGGCAGATTCCCAGACCTGAGCTAGGGCCAGCGTGAAGGGAGGCAGATAAAAACAATTGCCAAGAATGAGGTGGGAGGTGCTTGGCCACCAGAGGCCCCATAGGTGAATGGGCGGCCTGCCTCAAAAGCACAAAATAATAATTGGGGGATAGTTTCCCATTCCTGGGTGTAAAAAAATACAAATGACACACTTAAAAGGAAGCATATTACTGCCTTGATGACTTTGAAGTCTGTTATGATTGGGATGGGGTTAGCAAAATGTTTCCCCATAGACCTATTAAGAAGCTCACTTTCATATCAACAAAGTAGATTTCCCTTTGGGAGAGAGAATGTTCTTTGCTTGAGGAGGCCACTATTCACAGCTCCTTCCATTCAATGAAGAAATGTTTATTGGGCCGTGCATGTGCCAGCTGCTGGGAATGAGAAGTTTATAGGCTAATGGGGGAAACAAATAAAAAACAAGTAGAAAAGTCAAGACAAGGTGATTTCAGAGGATAACAAACAAGACCACTCAGCAAGCACTGCCATTTTCCACGTGAGAAATGGAGGAGTGGCATAGACTGCTAGGCTGGAGCTGGCAAGAAACGCAGAGACTTTAATCCACCCAGCCAGGGAGTTGGGTCTAGACAGCTACTCGCCAGGCCTTGGGACCTCCGAGCCATGATTTTAGGTACTGACCCAGCTAGCCCATGAGAGTACAATGGAAGAGACAGGCTTGGTCTTGTTAAAGGGAAAGTGGCCAGTTGGGGAAAATGTCATGAAGACCCAATTATCTGCCTTTCTTTTCTTTGTTTTAGGCACCTGGAGCATGAGTCAGCATCAGAGATCATTAAAAATGTTTAATTAATTTTAATTGATGGCTTTCTCCCCCACCTCTCTTTTCCTTCATGGGTATACTGGCAACCTTCCTTTAGCATGTATAATGAAGGGGAAAAAATCACAATCATTCAGACTATTCACCTTTTAAACATAAAAATCTGATACTCTAGACAAAAACTGGATGCGGTAAAGGCTACCTCTGTGACAGCGTGTGTATTTCTTAAGAATATGTCTTATTCGGAGGAAATAATAAAATCGTGATAGCTGATATTTAGAGCATGCTTCCTGTGTATCATTCCTGTGTTAGGGTTTAGTCAAGTGCTGTTGCTTTTTCTCAGAAACTGAGGCACAGAGAGATTGCATCATGGTTAACATCACATGCTCAGTAAGTGGGGAGCCAGGATTCTGACCTGTCTGGCATCAGAGCCCTCACTCTAAATCTGTGTAATCAGTGCTCTTCACAGCCTACCCTCCATCCAGCCCAGCCAAGATGATGTCTGTTCTCTCTGGAAAAGTCCTCGCTTTATTGTTCAGTAATCATATGCCGATTAAATTTATAAGGCCATAAATATTCATTGCATGCTACTACATGTAGGGTACACATACACAGAGAGTAGAAATCACCTTCCCTGCCTACTCATAGCTTGTCTTTCTGCTGGAAAGCCAAGAAGCAAACATGGGGGAAGTGAAATCTCTATGTTGATTTACAAGCCATTGGATGCAGTGCCAAAGGCACCTAATTAATTGCCAATGAGCTACATAAATATTTATTGGCCTAACTAAGAGTTCAAGGAAGGGATAGAGAGCTTGGGTTGGCACTAAAATGAATATCTGCTAGAACAGCTATACAAAAATGCTGGAACTTACACCAGGCGATGGCCAAGAGGAAATTGCAGGGAAACTGGAGAGAGAATGATGGGGCGAGGGCAGAAAGGCATCACATCCCAGGTGTGGGTGCTCAGCCTCAACGTAAGGACCCGATCCCAGGTCTCAGGGAAGATGTGGGGACAGGCTTCCAAAGGTCTGTGACAATCAGGTTGACAGGAAACAACAACAAAACCTCTGAGAAGCAAGGATTTGGGCTCCACTCAATCTACTGCAAGACCAGAATGTCCATTTCCTGTCTACACGTCCTATTTTTGATGGTGTCAAATAAAAATGTGGATTTCATTTGTTTTCTTAATCCACAAATTGGTTCAACAAAATTGTGAAATGTAATAAATCCAATTTGGCTCCAATCTGGCTGTCAGGAGGACAATTGAGGGAGATGAAGGATGGAGCCAAAGAAGACACGTTTCCTGGGGCACCCAATTTTTTTGTTGTGACATTGCCATGAGAGAATGCATCACTGCCTGAGGGCAGGGGAAGACAGAAGGCAGGGGCTTCATCCAGACTCCG